TATTATTATTATTACTACTACTACAATTATTATTATAATTATTATCATAATTATTATTATTATTATGGTTAATAATAATAATAATAATGATTTATTGCTCAAATTGTATTTGTTTTCTAGCTCCATCGCAAGCTGTGGATTTTTCCAGACCAGCATTTCTCTCAATGAAGTCTGGAGAACATGTTACTCTAAACTGCACCTTTGGAAATATCCTTACAGCTGAAAGTGTGTTTTGGTACAAACAAACATTTGGAGAAATGCCTCAAAAGGTGGGAGAAAGATTAGCATATAAGGATGTTAAAATGTCCCCCATGTTCAAGATGTCAGGATTTATAATGGAGGCGACTGATAACAGCATTTCTCTGACAATTCCACATATAAAAAAAGAACATGGAGGACTTTACTTCTGTGAAAAAAGTTACATGGACGATGTTACATTATCCACTGGAACTTTCTTGGCTGTAACAGGTAATTGACTTTATTAAAACTGTTCCTACAGTAAACACTGGTAGTCAAAACCGTTTGAGCACCCTATCAAAGTTCAACAAATTTTTAGGGCACTTTATTTAACCGCTATACTGTACAATTTTTTTTTGTGAACCCCAAGCCAGAACTCGGTCACTTATTAGGCATTTTGGTTTCTCAGCGTTATTTACCATCATGTTTGTCATTCAGTGTCGTTGAGGAACCAGCAGAGGAGGAAATTTGACAATTTTTTGTTTTAACTAGTAAAAAAAGACTGAAATAGCATGCACACTCTTAACTTTAACGTAAATCCCAGGAAAAATTCAACATTTCCACATTAAAGAAACATATAGGCCCCGCTGGAAGTACTGGAACAGCTATCAGACTCTAACTTTCAACATATCTGTGATGTTCCTGTGCCACATTCGTTAACGTAAATGTAAATGTAAATGTTCTTATTTCAATTACTAAAACTAAATTCTCTTTACATGCAAAAGAGAAACACTTTTCAGTTCAGGAAAGTTTGCAGGTTTCATAATCTGACATACATACATAGATATACACACACACACACACACACACACACACACACACACTTATATATATATAAAGTCGAGACGAGAGTTTAAAGCTTGGGAAATCTTATTGTATCCAAATCCGGCTTTAAACTTCTCCACAACAGTATTACGGACCTGCCTGGTGTGTTCCTTGGTCTTCATGATGCTCTCTGCGCTTTCAACAGAACCCTGAGACTATCACAGAGCAGGTACATTTATACAGAGACTTGATTACACACAGGTGGATTCTATTTATCACCATCAGTCATTTAGGACAACATTTTGCACGCACCACTTTTCAGTTTTTTATTTGCTAAAAAAGTTTAAAATATCCAATAGATTTCGTTCCACTTCACAATTGTGTCCCACTTGTTGGTGATTCTTCACAAAAAATTAAAATTTTTATATCTTTATGTTTGAAGCCTGAAATGTGGCAAAAGGTTGAAAAGTTCAAGGGGGCCGAATACTTTCGCAAGGCACTGTATATATATCACTAGCCGCAGTATTCTTTTGTTTTGATTTAACCGATCCAAATTTGATTAATACCAGATGCAGCACTGTTACCGATAATAAAGGTTTAAATGTTGGCTTTATAGGGTGAGGTATACGATACCAGTGAAGACTGTTTTTTGTCAAGCATATAAGCAAATCTGACATGAAGACATGTTTCTTATTGAATGTTTGTAATTTCAACCTGCAATTTAGAAGTTTGCATGTTTGGGATCATGATTTATAATGTTTAATTAATCACAGTCAATAAAACTGCTTATGAAAACAGCCGATATCTTACACTGTCTACAATAAACTCAAAACAGGTGATGGCGATGTAAAAGTGTCAGTGTTCCAGAGCGGCATGTTGGACTCGGTTCCTGCAGGAGCGTCAGTGACTCTACAGTGCTCGGTTCTCTCTGAGAGCAGATCAGCAGAACTCCAAGTGCTCTGGTTCAGAGCTGCTCCACCACAATCCCATCCTCAAATCATTTACACTCATCACAACAGCAGCCATCAGTGTGAGAGCGGCTCTTCTACACACACCTGTGTGTACAACTTCTCCAAGAACATCCTCAGCCGCAATGATACTGGAACTTACTACTGCGCTGTGGCCATGTGTGGGAAGATCATTTTTGGGAACGGGACACGAGTAAATTTGGGTAAGAACACATTCACTTATTCAGAGTAAACATATAATACATTAATATTCAACACATTTTATGTACAATATTTAAATTTGCTAAAATGATCATCATTATGATGACAGGGAGGGGTAGTAGGAGGGGTAGTAATTTATATCTACTTAAATATTGTTGAGATATAAGGTATAAAATGCAGTATATATCCTATTTTTATGTTTTATTAAAAAATCTAGCTACAGAAGAATCTGTGGATCCTCTAGTGATCTGCCTCGCTGTATCTTTGGGAGTGTGTGTGGTCGTGATCGTTGCTCATATCGTTACCTGTAAATGGAGGAACTGTGAATGTTGCACTGGTGAGTCTTCAGTAAATCTGTGTGTACTTATGAACACTAATAGATTTTTCTGTACTGAAATTTGTCAAAAACTACATCAAATGACTTTCAATGCAAATCCAATAAAATACCACACTGATTTGTCTAAATGCCACTGCTATATATTTATTTAATTTGCATTAAATTTAACAAGTAATAAGTAAAAACAAAAGTAATAGACATGAACAGAACAATTATTTATCATTTTATCTGCCCTTTTCCCTAGCCTACAGTATGTTTGTTAAAATGTCTCCTTTTGTATGTAAACTTTTTTTTTTACAGAAAGTCAATAAAAACATTTCCACATCATTTGAGTAAATATAATGTATGTTATATTTTCTTAATGTTTCTTAATGAGGTCAATGTACAGTATGCTATTGGCAGAAAAACCCAGGATGTTTTTCACCTTTATCTGTTTTTCAGAATTCAGTTGCAGTCATAGATGTTTTTTCCTCCAGACCTCCACACATTTTTAATCTCACAATGATTCCTCATTAAACAGAAATATATATATTAAATCTGGATCTAAACATGAAAATAAATCTCTTTGCAGTGAGATCTGAAGATACAGTAGTAAAGAAAACACAGAATCAGGTAACTAATGTTGAGCATACTCACTACAATTATTATTAGAACCTATTACAGCACACTGTAACAAATGTTATTTGAGTTGGATTTAAGTTACTGTAATTTAAGTGATTAACAACAAGCTCGCTGAAAATGTCTTTAGATTAATAGTTCTGTTAAACACAGAATCAGTCAGTAAAAGTAATCCTGTTAGAATTAACCTAAATATCATAATAGATTCAGATGAAATCTGTGTCCTGACTTTATCCTGTCCAATTTACATAAATATCTAATCTAGTCCAAATAATGCTAAATGTTGTAAAGTATTAACATTCCCATCACTTGCAGTAGATATCTCTTGTTTGAAACGAATCTTTCATATCCATTCCCACAGAGCCAGGATGCTGTGGAGCTGAATTTTGCTGCCTTACACATCAATAAAAGAAGAGGAAAGAGAGAACGAGCTCGTGATAATGTGTATACTGAAGTGATTTTCTCTTCAATTTCTTAGATATTATGTTCTCCTCGTGTCCTTATGGGTTTCCTCCAGGTTCTCTGGTGTCTTCCGCCCAGGTGAAGATAAATTGTCCCTAGGTGTGAATGAGTCTGTGTGCTCATGGTGCTTTGTAAATATATATTTGCTGTTGTCAGACCTCTGTGAGCTTCACCTGTTATGGACTTTATGGTCATGACTAAATGTACTAAATGTAATGAGTCCTGGGAACACGCTTGCTATTTATGAGTGATTAAGCATTTAGCAACGTATGCACATGACTATGAAGGAAACATGACTATGAAGGAAATATGGTAGGAGTTTTTAGCTCAGTTTGGCCAATGAAATCATTTCTACACTTTAGTAAAAGACATATGAGGCCCACTGACTGTTTTGTGGTTTATTGTGATTCTGCAGCACTGTGTGTATTATCAATGCAATCATCTCATGCCCAGAATAATGCTGGTGTAACTGAACACACCACAAACTGATAGTAGAGTAGGTCAACCACAAGGCCTTGCTAAAAGGAACATCGTTCTCTCTGGTATGATTCTTCAGTATGTTGTTTGTGCACATCTGTGGAGTAATTTTATGAGCAGTACTTTTTTGCTCATTTAAAACAGAGTGATCTGCCTTCAAATGTACCATGTTTTAAATTGTTTACCATGTCTAGATTTATATGAAATTCTGATCTCTTGTCTTATTTTCATCTTTTGATCTCAAACTCAAATGTTGGAGGGACAAAATTCAGAAAATCTAATGTCCTGAACAGTACAATTCATTTAACATGGTCAATATCACAAATCTGTGATAGTTTAACCCTCCTACTCAGGGATGTAGTTTTCCAATAATCAAAACTAGAAATTCCAACTCCACCAATATTTTTTACCATGATCAACTGAAATATATGTAGTTCAAACCAAATCTACGTCCATCCTCCAATTATGTTAGAAAAAAAAAAGTTACATCCATTATGTTATAGGACAAAATGATTTCCACAGATTAAATACACACAAATACAACAAAGAACAGCTTCAAAAAGTAAACCTTTATTAGGGTGTGTCAAGACAAGCCACAAGAAGAAATATTTTCATATACAGTATGTTTATGACCCAAAATAAGGAAAGTCCAAAAATTTCAAGCAGATAAAGCGAGAATAACCAATATTTCAGATATGTCAAATGTGGAAATGGATGGAAGTGGAAATTTACAACAGTGTTTCCCGATTAATTTTAAAGTTAATATCATGCTATTATAACGCTGTAACGTTTTTTAAAAATGTATTTATTTATTATTTGTTAAAGAAATGCCATGTTTTATCCATTTAAAAATGTATTTATTTATTATTTGTTAAAGAAATGCCATGCTTTATCCATTTATAGTTACATTTTACTGTAACATTGTGGAACAGGGGCGCACGGTGGCTTTGTGGTTAGCACGTTCGCCTCAGGTCACACCTCCAGGGTCCAGGGTTCGATTCCCGCCGTGTGTGCGGAGTTTGCATGTTCTCCCTGGGGTTGCATGAGTGCTGCCGGTAATGGGGAGCTACAGTTCATTAAGGGAACTATGAATGCCAATATGTACTGTGACATACTGAAGCAGAGCATGATCCCCTCCCTTCGGAGACTGGGCCGCAGTTCAGTATTCCAGCATGATAATGACCCCAAAGACACCCCCAAGACGACAACTGCCTTGCTAAAAAAAACTGAGGTTGAAAGAGATGGACTGGCCAAGAATGTCTGCAGACCTAAAATTCTATTGAGCATCTGTGGGTCATCCTCAAATGGAAGGTGGAGGAGCACAAGGTCTCTAATGTCCACCAGCTCCGTGATGTCAATGTGATGACTCTGGTGAACTCCATGCCCAAGAGGGTTAAGGCAGTGTTGGAAAATAATGGCGGCCACACAAAATATTGACACTCTGTGCTCAATTTGGACATTTTCACCTAGGGGTGTACTCACTTTTGTTGCCAGCGGTTTAGACATTTATGGCTGTGTGTTGAGTTATTTTGAGGGGACAGCAAATTTACACTTTTACACAAGCTGTACACTCACTACTTTACATTGTCGTAAAGTGTCATTTCTTCAGTGTTTTCACAGGAAAAGATATAATCAAATATTCACAAAAATGTGAGGGGTGTACTCACTTTTGTGATATACTGTATATAGCATATTATGTACATTAAGAATTTTTTCTAAACCATTCCAAAGTGCTATAAAATTTCAAGAACATTTTTTAAACCATCCCAGAATGTGTAACCAACCTTAGATAAAATGATGATTTTTAAGAAGGCCACCAAGTGTCATTTTCATTGCATTGGCTTATGGGAGGAGAAACTCAGGAAGTTTGTGTTGTCAGAACTTCACGTCATAAATCTTTGACTTGAAGTGAAATGTACTCAGTTGGACCTTCTGACAGCTCATCAAGAAAACATGCAGCACACAGACCTCAGACTCAAGATGATGGCTGTGGTGTGGATTACAGTGGGGCTTTTTAATAATATTGGTAAGTGCTGGTTATTTGAAGCATTGTCTGTTTTTTCTGTAAAAGTAAATAGAATGTAATATTAATCATGAAAAAGAAGTAACTAATTAGAATTGCTAACACAATTGCAATGACTGATTGGCAGCTATTCTATTTGCACGTTTTGGGTATTAAATGAATGAATGAAAATATTACCATTAAAGCCCTGGAGAAATTGTGTGATATACAGTAAAGAGAGTGATCACTATATACAGAGTAAAATCTTCATACACTGTCTTGTTGAATACATTTTTAATATATATGGACCTTTTTTGTTCTCTGGCTCCTAACATTAGATTCTGCACAAACGAACGGCGTCCATCAGCCGAACTCAGTGATCACTGCTACTGCTGGTGATAACGTGACTCTACAGTGCTTTCTGCTGGGAGAACACAATACTGAACCCATCTCTTGGTACAAGCAAGCAGGAGGACACGAACCTTCATTAGTGGCTGTGGTTATGAAAGCACAGGATCCCATTTACAAAGATAAATTAAATTCTCTAAGGTTCAGAATCGAGATAGGAAGCAAGAACTGTCATTTGAAGATAATCAACGTGAACCCATCAGATGAGGCCATGTATTACTGTGGCTTGAATATACTTCACACAGTATTTGCAAAAGGAACTTTTTTATCAGTGAAAGGTAAGCAGTTATATTTATGCAAGCAGTTTGGCTGGTATTAAAAAAATATTCATTATACATACATACATACATACATACATATACATACACATATATATATATATATATATATATATATATATATACACACACACACACACACACACACACAGAGTAAAATCTTCATACACTGTCTTGTTGAATACATTTTTAATATATATGGACCTTTTTTGTTCTCTGGCTTCTAACATTAGATTCTGCACAAACGAACGGCATCCATCAGCCGAACCCAGTGATCACTGCTACTGCTGGTGATAACGTGACTCTACAGTGCTTTCTGCTGGGAGAACACAATACTGAACCCATCGCGTGGTACAAGCAAGCAGGAGGACACGAACCTTCTTTAGTGGCTGTGGTTATGAAAGCACAGGATCCCATTTACAAAGATGAATTACATTCTCTAAGGTTCAGAATCGAGATAGGAAGCAAGAACTGTCATTTGAAGATAATCAACGTGAACCCATCAGATGAGGCCATGTATTACTGTGGCTTGAATATACTTCACACAGTATTTGCAAAAGGAACTTTTTTATCAGTGAAAGGTAAGCAGTTACATTTATGCAAGCAGTTTGGCTGGTTTTAAAAAAATATTCATTATACATACATACATACATATACATACAATATATATATATATATATATATATATATATATATACAGTGGTGTGAAAAAGTGTTTGCCCCCTTCCTCATTCCCTGTTCCTTTGCATGTTTGTCACACTTAAGTGTTTCGGAACATCAAACCAATTTAAACAATAGTCAAGGACAACACAAGTAAACAAAAAATGCAATTTGTAAATGAAGGTGTTTATTATTAAAGGTGAAAAAAAATCCAAACCATCATGGCCCTTTTTCACTTTTTCACACCACTGTATATATATATATATATATATATATACACACACACACACAACACACAGAGTAAAATCTTCATACACTGTCAGTGAAAGGTAAGCAGTTATATTTATGCAAGCAGTTTGGCTGGTTTTAAAAAAAATATACAATATTCATTATATTTATATATATATATATATATATATATATATATATATATATATATATATATATATATATATATATATATATATATATATATATATATATATATATATATATATATATATATATATATATATATATATACTGCATATACAGTAAATGTGAGTGATAAACAATAAATGCGAGAGGAGAGGAGAGCAAGTGTGATCTTACACTGTGTATATTACACTGAACAGGTGATGGAGATGTAAAAGTGTCAGTGTTCCAGAGCGGCGTGTCAGACTCGGTTCCTGCAGGAGCGTCAGTGACTCTGCAGTGCTCGGTTCTCTCTGAGAGCAGATCAGCAGAACTCCAAGTGCTCTGGTTAAGAGCTGCTCCACCACAATCCCATCCTCAAATCATTTACACTCATCACAACAGCAGCCATCAGTGTGAGAGCGGCTCTTTTACACACACCTGTGTGTACAACTTCTCCAAGAACATCCTCAGCCTCAATGATACTGGAACTTACTACTGCGCTGTGGCCGTGTGTGGGAAGATCATTTTTGGGAACGGAACACGAGTTCAACTGGGTAAGAACACATTCTCTTATTCAGAGTAAACATAGAATACATTAATATTCAACACATTTTAAATACAATATTTAAATTGGGAAAATGATCATCATAATGATTACATGGATGTATAGTTATTAATTTATATCTAAATGTATATTAATTTTTGTGATACAAGGTATAAAATGCAGAATATATCATTTTTTTTTGTAAAAAATCTAGCTACAGAAGAATCTGTGGATCCCCTAGTGATCTGCCTCGCTGTATCTTTGGGAGTGTGTGTGGTTGTGATCGTTGCTCATATCGTTACCTGTAAATGGAGGAACTGTGAATGTTGTACTGGTGAGTCTTCAGTAAATCTGTGTGTACTTATGAACACTAATAGACTTTTTCTGTACTAAAATTTGCAAAAAATCTGCAAAAACTACATCAAATGACTTTCAATGCAAATCCAATAAAATAGCACACGGATCTTTCTAAAAGCCACTGTTATATATTTATTTAATTTGCATTTAATTTAACAAGTAATAAGTAAAAGGGGCGCACGGTGGCTTAGTGGTTAGCACGTTCGCCTCACACCTCCAGGGTCCGGGGTTCAATTCCCGTCAGGGCCGTGTGTGCGGAGTTTGCACGTTCTCCCCATGCTGTTTCCTCCGGGTACTCTGGTTTCCTCCCCTAGTCCAGAAACATGCATGTTAGGTTGATTGGTAGGTTGGTAAATTGTCCATAGTGTATGAATGGGTGTGCGAGTGTGTATGTGATTGTGCCCTGTGATGGACTGGCACCCTGTCCAGGGTGTGCCCTGCCTTGTGCTTGATGCTTCCTGGGATAGGCTCAAGGTTCCTCGCGACACTGAAGAAGGAATAAGCGGTTGAAGATGGATGGATGGATAAATAAAAACAAAGAAGAACTGTTTATCATTTTATCTACCTTTATTCATAGCCTAGAGTATGTTATTAAAATGGCTCCTATTCCATGTAACAATTTTTGCAGAAAGTCAATACAAACATTTCCACATATATTTTCTTAATGTTTCTTAATGAGGTCAATGTAAAGTATGCTATTGGCAGAAAAACCCAGGATGCTTTTCACCTTTATCTGTTTTTCAGAATTCAATTGCAGTTGTAGATGTTTTTTTCTTCCAGACCTCCACACATTTACTCTCACAATGATTCCTCATTAAACAGAAACATATATTAAATCTGGATCTAAACAAGAAAATAAATCTCTTTGCAGTGAGATCTGAAGATACGGTACTAAAGAAAACACCAAATCAGGTAACTAATGTTGAGCATACACACTATAGTTATTATTAGAACCTATTAGAGCACACTGTAACAAACTTTATTTGAGTCAGTCAGTAATAGCAAATATATATTTGCTGTTGTCAGACCTCTGTTAGCTTCACCGTTTATGGACTTTATGGTCATGACTAAATGTAATAAATGTAATGAGTCCTGGGAACATGCTTGCTATATATGAGTGATTTTACATTTAGCAACATATGCACATGACTATGAAAGATATCTCACTAAATATTTTGTAAATCTGGTAAGAGTTTTTAGTTCAGTTTGGTCAATTAAATCATTTCTACACTTTAGTAAAAGACATATGAGGCCCACTGACTGTTTTGTGGTTTATTGTGATTCTGCAGTACTGTGTGTTTTGTCAATGCAGTTATCTCATGCCCAGTATAACGCTGGTGTAACTGTGAACACACCACAAGCTGATA